CAATACAACAACTTATCAAATAAAACAAGAGAATGCTAAAATGCAAGAAAAATGCAAATATATAGTAAGCAAAAAGCTAACGAGTGGTCGAAACTTTTTATAGGGCATTATTTTTCTAAGGAATCAAAGAATTACTGACTAACAGAAAAATGGGTACCAATTGAAATCATTTTTTTTCTTTTTTTTCGACAAAGCTGAATATATTATGATGTTAAATGTGAAATTACATAATCTTTATGTAAATCTTTATACAATTAAGGAATTAACCAAATAGGAGTATAATTACAACTTGAATAAAATAAAGCATTAAGAGGACCTCTTTGAGCCAAGCAATGAGCCACTACGTTTGAGCTTCTTCTAATTGCAATGAATTTGTGGTTGAGTAATTGAGATGCCCATAATGCAATATCAACTCCTACAGATTATGAATGTGAATCCGTTTGGAAACATCATTAAGATGTTCGACCAACTGTTTGCAATCTCCTTCAAAAATCACTTTCTCAAAGCCCGTGAGTTTAATATTTTGGAGGGCAACTAATAGAGCTTTACCTTCAGCTTCAAGCGAAGAAGAAGCCGATTCGATCTTTGCATATTCCCAATATTTAGCTAAGCCAAGATGATCTCTCACAATCCAGCCTCCTTTGACTTGTCCTGACGAAAGATCAAAAGCTGCATCGAAGTTACATTTAACAAAACCAATTGGGGGTTTAGTCCAAGAGCAGCATTAAGGTGACACGTTTGAGCAGCATTAAGCCATTCTCTCACTTCTGCCACAGATATAGAAGCATTCTAACAGAAAATAACGAAGAACAAAAATAAAGTAATTGTTATAGACTTTAAAATAAATAAAAAAGAGTAAAAGTTCCAAAAGGTGAATTACATTTAAATTTTGATTTACTTTTGGAGAAACAAATAATATTGACAGATTTTGAGCTATAATTTTTGGATTAATTATAACAAAAATAAAAATAAAAAATTCTATATTGAGAAAAAGACAATTTTTTTACACACGGGTGAAACCGGCAACCGACAAAAATTCCAAAAGTTAAATTACATCACTGACTG